ATATATATATATATATATAATAAGTCTGGGCTTTCTCTACACACCGACCGTGCTCGTATTTTTCTATTCGATCGGGAAGAAATCCGTACCTTCGCGTATGCATTTGCACGTAACTTCGACACGTTACACTGACGCTGCGCGTTCAGCTAACTGAAAACTAGCGTAAACGGAGTAAAACGAAGAAATTCTTCGATTGCGAAGACGAACGATAAGAAGATAGATATCAATTAGAATTTTCCAGCGTTTGGAATCTTTTACGATATTGATTTTTTTCTTCTACTGGAAATATTTGCTTCGCTGAAACAATGGAACAGGATACGAAAAAATTTTGTTAGACTTTGTTAAAAAAAAAAAAAAAAAAAAAAAAAAGAATAAAGTTTCGACGCCTCGTGTTTCTCCGAAAATCGACGAGTAAAAACGGAAAATTGCTAAAATTTCTCACATCCCGTTATAATCCGAGCTATCGGGGGAACATGGAGGGACGCTTTTGCTCGCGGAATATCCATCGAAAAAAGATGGGAAGATTCGCGGATGGGGAAAATCGAGCGCGAACGCATCGATAGTACTGAACCTATCGCAAGAGATTTACGAATCCGCGGAACATCTGTCGTGACGATGTTGCCCCGTTCACCGGTGCTTTCGATTGCTTCGCAAACGTATCGAGATCACGATAAAAGGCCGATTGCCCGATGGAAGTTGCGGGATTGCCTACGAAATACCCTCCACCTGTCTCCCTTTCGTCTTCTAACGATCGCGTTATCGTTATAGATCCGAGGGTCTATAATCTAGAGGTCGTCGCCATTTTCTTCGACATCGGCATCGACATCGACCTGCTTCGGACGAGCCAACTTTGGAGCGTGGCAGCACGCTTTACTTTCTTGGTAGTCGAAGGCTTTTCAACCCATTAAATGCCGATCGAACATGCCTTGCTTATAGCATTGCAACTGCACTTGTTTCAATATTATATTCCGTTTGTATGCACTTTAGCGACTTACTGAAGAATTTCGTCACTCATTCTATATATATGTCACTCATTCTATATATATTTACTTATATATATATATGTGTATATATATACTTTAGTATAAAGTATATATATATATATGTACTTTAGCGACTTACTGAAGAATTTCGTCACTCATTCTATATATATTTACTTATATATATATGTATATATATATACTTTAGTATAAAGTATATATATATATACTTTAGTATAAAGCGACTTACTGAAGAATTATATATAATATATATATAGAAATATATATATAGAATGAGTGACGAAATTCTTCAGTAAGTCGCTAAAGTATATATATGTATATATATATA